GGTTTCTGGGATATACCCTTTGGGTGGTTGATGATGCATGGAGGGGATTGGAACCATGGCAGTGAGATGATATACAATGGAATGAATGTAAAACTAAAGTTCTCCCATGTAAACTATCATATAATTCACAATAAAACATTAAAAAAAAAGATATGGCTAAATTAGAACTTCTAGTTCTAGTGAAAGTGATCTTATTTGGGGAATGACGATTTCCTTAAAGATGTCATGAACTGGTTGCCTCCAAATCCAACAGCACGGTGTCTATGAGACAGGGGTGAGTGGAGACAAGGGGAGAAGGCATGCAGTTAAACGGTTACAAGTCACGGAATACCAAGAATGGCTGACAACCACCAAGTCAGAGGCACGGAATGGATTCTCACTCAGAGCCTCCCGAAGGAACCAACGCTGCTGACACCTTGCTTGCAGACTTAAAATCCCCAAAACGGAAAGAATAAATATCTGCTCTTTAAACCACTCCATTTTTGGTAGACTCTTCATTCCACGAATTGTTGTATAAGTAACAGACGGGCACCACATCACTCCTGTCAATAACTGGTCCCCGTGCCTGTTCTCAGTTCACACACAGACAGCAAAGTGTGTGTAGCTGTGCTGTCTCCCAGTGCCAGACCCACTGGACATTTTACAAAAATGAATCATCAAAAGTGGAAACTGACGAAGAGAAACAGCTGTGTGCAAACAAATGAAAAGCACTGAGGCTGGAAGTGTAATTTGAATCTTCAACCCCGATTTGCTACTCATACACATTATTTAACACACCAGCAGGTCCTGTAACTGGCACCTCCCTCACTCCGGGATCCCCTTGTAAAATAAAGTCACTGTCACATATGAAAGCTAGCCTACCTGGTCTTTCCATGACCACCTTTGCCTCTTTCAGTATATCCCCAGATCCGCCAGTGCAATCAGACCATGTCACTCTTTAGATGGCTTCCAATTAATTCAGAATAAAGCAGCTACCCCATAAGAGGATTACCAACCCACTGCCATCAAGTCAATTCCAACTCCTAACAGCCTACGTGACAGAAGAAGCGGCCCCATGGAGCGCCCAAAGCTGTTTCACCTTTCTCCCTCCATCTTTCGGTAGGCAGTCCCATGCTGTAACCTCTAGGCCACCGGGGCTTCTACAATGACTACAAAACCCAACAAAATGTGTTCCTTGCCCTGCCTGCACCATTACCACTCTGACCTCACCTTCAGTATCTTTGTCGTCCCATCCTCCCCACTCTCTGCTGCTCTTCCCACAGCTCAGACAAGCCCTGGCCTCAGTCTCTGCAATGACTACTCATTCATCTGGAACATCCTTTCCCCAACAGAGCCTGACGTCCTCTAGGTCTCTGTCCCAATGTCACCTCACAGAGGCCTCCTCTAGTCTCACATTCCGACTGCTCGCAATCCTCCTTGCCCTGTGTTCCCTATTGCCTGGCTGGCTTGCATTCCTTAGCACTAATCACCATCTAATACTATGTATCTTCATTATTTATCTTATTATTCTTATTCTCATTTGTTATGTAAGTTGTGTGAGGGCCATGATTTCGGTCTAATTTCTTCATTGTTGAATCCTCAGCATTCAAAGGCCTATCATACAGTAGATCCTCAGTAGGTACTATCGAATGAAGGAAAGATCACAGATGACAAGGCACTTTAACAACAGAAACCAGGATTTTTCCAAGATACTCTTCAACTTAGAAGCTAAACAAGCCCATATCAAAAGGAAATGACCTATAAGTAGCTGTGGAAGTCAACACAGCATTCAACGCCCCCAGATGGCAGTCCCTGCAGACAAGCACACTGCAACCCTACTCAGCTCTGCACAGAGCACAGCATGGTGCAGGTGATGATGAGGACGGAAACCAGAGTAGGGCAGACCAGAGTCACTTACCCCATTCCCTGTTTGAAGGCTTCAATCAACTCATTCTTCTTATTCTGATCTTCTACCCAGTACACACTTGGAATGACAAACTCTGAGATCACACGGCACTCTGGACAAGACCTGAAATAAGAATCAGGTGAGTTGAGGGAGCAATAAAGTTGCACGCCCCACCGCTAACCCCCTTGCTCAAATACCAATTTCTAAATAAAAAATTCTAACAGGTACAACTGCAATCATGAGAACCTTACTATTAAAACAAAATCACATAAATCCACTGAAGTCCAATGGTGGCCCACTGAAGATATCTGATATGGGTTTATAACCACAGTCTTTGTAACTCCCGCCAAATGATTGGGTTGTAAAGTGTTGTCCAGTTGACTCCAACTCAGCAACCCTGGTGGGTTCACAGTCCAGTGCTGATCCTGTAACGCCACACCAGGACTACAAATGATTGGGTTGTTGATGTTAAGTGCTGACAAGTTGGTTCTGACCCACAGCGACCCTGTAAAGGTTTTCTGAGGACTTTGAATTGCCAACCTTGCAGTTCAAAACAACCATACAGTCCAGCACATTAACCCACAGCACTACACCAGGACTCCAAATGATTGGGTAGGATCATGCAAATAGGGTATATGAAACTCTAACAAGTAGATTTGTTAGTTTTGCCATTTTGCTGTATTTTAAATGAGCCATCTCAGAAGAGGAAAAGGGGAATCTCAAAAGAGAGCCAAAAGTGGAGTACATTCCCATGCTGAAACCTCTTTAATCCAGGAGACAAAACAGTGGTGGCAGCAGCACAAAGCAGAGGGAGTATGAGACCAAGCAGCAAGCCTCCTGCCCACAGGGCAAAACAGCCCAGTGTCTTTGGGGAGGAGGCTCTCTGGCGGAGTGGGTGGCCTTTAGGCACTTAATTAGGAGGGAACAGGTTTGCTGGCCTTCCCAGCTAGAGTTGAGTGCCTGCAGGCTGAGGCATACCACCCAGCGGCACACCCTTTGGGCATTTAATGGCAGTGCCAAGAGGAGCTGTATAACATTGCCTAAAGAGCGCAGAAGCCAAGAAGCCTTGTGGCTGAGAGGCCAAGGACCAAGGAGAGGCATGCCTGACTGGAAGTACTGTACCCAAGTGTTTCTGATCCTGAACTGTCACCTGTTAACGTCCCTAATAAACCCCATGCTGCTGTTAAGTGTGAGTGCCATCGTCAAGTCGGTTCCAACTCACAGCAACTTGGTATAGGGTTTCTAGAGCAGCTGGTGAGTTTACAGTTTGTGCTTACTCCCCTAATCATGAGTATAGTCTGTATATTCTGTGTGGCTGCTGCAACCCATGATAAAACCCGACAGAAGAGTAAAAGTGCTGGGGAGGGCTGGCTGGAGTCAGGCTGGTTAAGGAAGGAGAGTGGCCTCTTTCTCAACTCTATCTGCTACAGCTCAGCCTGGAGCTGCAGAGTCTCAGTCTTCTTCCCTCTTCTGGAGCCAGTGGAGGTCACACCCTTCTTACACCAACTCAAATCCACTACTGTTGAGTTAGTTCTGCTTCATAGCAACCCTACAGGACAGAGTATAGATATGCCCCATAGGACCTATAGCTTTCTCCCAGGGAATGGTTGGTGGGTTTGAACTGCAAACCTTGAAGTTACTAGCCCAGGGCTGAGTCATATGGTAAAGTTACCACGTGGCCCAGCAATCCCATTCCCAGGATAATTCACACCAATGTCCATAAAAGCATTATTTATAATAGCCAACAAGTGGAAACAATGCCAATGCTCGTCAACTGAAGAATGGCTAAGCAAACTGTGGTTCACACATACAGTGGAGTGCTATTCTGCACTAAAGGGCCTGGAGAATGCACATCTATAAAATGCATGGACCATGCATTATACAGCCCATTTATAAGCAACGTCCAGAAGAAATAAATCCACACAGACACAAAGTGGATCAGTATAGTTGCTAGGACTGGAAAGAGGGGGGAACAGGCAGTTCACGAGAATTGTGGGTTCTTTTTGGGGTGATGCAAATGCAAATAATCTAAAATTGGACTGTAGTAATAGTTACAGAATTTTGTGAATAGATTAAAAACCATTAAATTGCACTTTTATCTCAAGAAAGCTGTTCCTTTACCACATATATGTGTGACTGACTTTAGGCCAGTTATTGGGCCTTGCTATCTATGAACTGCAGATGGCGAGCACAGGTCTCCGATACAACCACGTCTACGAACAGCATGCACACAGCACACAGTCAGCCCACTCCCTGTGCAGCGGGCACCACATGTCACTTTGTCCCCAAAAAGACCCAGTGTGCAAATCCAAACATTCACTGTACCTACCCAGTGATCTTTGCATTCAAACACCTCTGGAGGGTTAAGGAGGCCTCAACATGAATGAACAAAGTCCCAGCTCCAACCTTCTCCCTAGCAGCTCCAGCGAAGGCCCCTGCTGTACTTACTTAATGATTGGGTTCTCAAACTGCTTGGCACACCTCCACTGCCGGATGCAGGACAAGCAGTATGTGTGGTTGCAGTTGGAGAGAATCCCGAATCTCCGCTCAGAAGCAGATGCCTTCTCGAGGACCACCTCCATGCAGATGCTGCACACTTTGTCCTGACTGGCCTGGAGGGCAAAGGCTTTTTCCATCTCGTGTTCAAATGTGGCCATGCAGATCTGAAGTACAGACAGGGAAGAGGAAACGCTGCTCAGGTGCTAGGCCACAGAGGAGTGCAGTGGGCCCTGGGGCAGCCGCCAGCAGCAAACACCTAATGGCAGGCAAGGCCCAAATGCAACCACTGCCCTTTGACTGCTAAAAGAACCTCAAACCACCGCTGGGGTTAGCCCTTTGCTTTCCTAGGGTGACAAGGTCACCTCCATATGGGAGCCATGACCATGAAGGCCACACAGGTCAAGGGATTGCTGTCGGCTTGCAGAGTTCAGACAGCCTGGTCTCTGAACCACACCAACACCAGAAATGTCAACTAGTCCTTTATCTGAAATTGTAGGCCAGCAGCCCAGGGTCATGGGTAAGCAGCACCATCTCTCCAGAAAACAAGCTTAATGAATTCCTCTCCTAAGTGTGCCCCAAACACCTCCTGGGTGCTAGTGCTGTGTGCCAGGGACTACTGAGACCCAAGCCTGCCCTGTGGAGTTATGTGACACAAACTTAAGAAGTACCACACAGACTTCAACAAGTTTGGATACAGAGGAAAGCTCTGAATGTAGGCTCACCTGAAAAGTCACAAGGCAGACACTGGAGAGGGACAGATCCAGACTCTCCATCTCACAGCAGCTCCTGGGCCCCCATGGCCCATCAGACTGTGAAACTCTGTTACCTAGGAGACAGCGTCAGCGCCCCAGCACCGACCAGTCCTCACTAGTGTCGAGCCCCCAAGGATACAACTCTGGCTCTGTTATCCACCTTCACACCTGTCACCAAGCATCGGGCTGAACATGAGGCAACCTCATCAAGGGGTTTGTGAATGAACGACCTTCGGGGTCCTACCCAGTACTCATCTCCTCAGATTCTATGCTTTGGGTTCCTCAATTTCTCCAGAACCAATCAAATTAGATTCCAGATACACAGATCTATATAGCTTTGTGTTTATACAGCTATGTGTTTATGTTTGTGAGACACACACACACATATCACCACTACGCCCTGCTCCTCTAACCCTAAATTTGTTCTCTGAATTCTACATTACTGTTTCTAATACCTCTTCCTTTTCTTTATTCTATGTAATCAAAAACATGCAAATGACAAAAGGAAAAGGAATTTGAAAACTTAGTGCAAACATGCCAAGTCTATACCGTAGGCGTTGCTGGCAGCAAGACATGCCCGCAGAACTACCCACACTCTTGTTATTTAGTATAGCTCATGTGCCTTAAAGAGAGCCTAAAAAGCTTTGCCTCTTTACCTTTTCGTGTGTTCTTCTTTGCTCTGGATCAGAGGGGTGCAGGACCTGTAACCTGCAGATCTCACACAGCTCCCCATGCAGGTAGACACAATCATCTCCAAAGTGGCACTCCCCTGCAGCGGCATAGGGGCACAGCTGCTGCTCATCGGAGTAGGAGCTACCGGCTTCTATGTCATCAAGGCCACTCCTGATTGCTTCCAGGTAGGAGTGCGGCTTCATCTCCATGCTCTGAGTCCGAAGGTCGCTGCAGCCCTCTGAGTTACTCACCACACAGAGATGAGACTTGTCCTCAGCCAGGCCACAGAGATCTAATGCAAACACATGCACACACCAGTGAGCCCAAACATAACCACCAATGACACACTCTGAACATCACTCTTGAGACTGCACAGCCAAAAAAAAAAAAAAAAACCAGCAAACAAACAAAACAGCTTACAAAGGAAAAATAAAAGGAATAGTATAAAGCATTCATAATAGTCTTACAATAGTAAATTTGAAAACACAAATGCCAAGATGGGAAAATAGCAAACAAAGCAGGCCATCATATAGGAAAATACTAAAATTGATGTTAAGTACAAAAATGTCAACACATGGATTATATTTTTAAATGACAAGTATAGAAATGTCAACACATGGATTCACTCTGCACTTAAGAAAGCACATAAACTAGAGAGAGTGATTGTGAATGTCTACTCTCTGCTAGGTCCTGGGGTCAGCAGTTAGAGAGCCTCATCTTTGTACCTCAAGTACAAAATGGCAAATGCTACACAGATGTTTGCACAGCCAGGAAAAGGGGCGACTTGGGGCCCAGATCCAAGGTTATATTCTTTTCAGTGTACCCACCCCTCCAAGGTCATGAAAAATACATAAGGCATAATGAAATTTCATAATGAAATCAACAGAATCCAGTAGTATCCTTTATATCAGAAAAGTTCTCTCTTTTAATAAGTGAGGAACACACACAATTGCAAATAATACCCACTTGACCTGGCTTCAATGACTGGATGATCAGAGCTCAACCAGAAGAAGGAAGAGGAAAAAAAGAGTAATCTAATACAAATTGATAAACTTGACCAACACCTATGGATGCAGTAGCTCAAAAGAGGGAACAAATCTTTACAGGAGAATCATTCCCACCCCCTCCATACACAGAGTAGACAGGGATGGGCAACTTGGACATTGGCTACCCAAAATGGGAGGGCTAGAAAGGCAAGAAGTGACTGGCTTACAAACTTTCAAGAGGGAACCTAGATTCAGAGGGCATGGAGGAAGGTAGAATCTCCACTGAGTAGTATGCAATCTGTATAGGCAGGGCTGATGAAATGAAATGCAGATGGGTCTCTTGTGACACAATAGTGAATAATTGTTATCAGGACTGCTTGTGAGGGTTGGGAATGTAAAGGTAGACGTTTTGTAGCAAGGAGGGGAGTGGTTAACTTTTCAGCATCGGAGCACAGGTTCCCTGGGACAATCACGGGAGAAGAGCGGAGACCGGGACCCTACCCAGAGAAGCAGTGATGCCTGAGATGGAGCAAAGATGATGACGTGGAGAGATGGAGCAGATGGGGACTTCAAACACAGAGAGGGAGAGGGGCTGTGTGCTGACGACTGGGAGGCAGGCTTGTAGTGGTTGGTTGCTGATGCATGGAGGGAATTATAATCATAGCAATGAAATGATAAACAATAGGATGAATGTAAAACTAATGTTCTCCCATGTAAACTGTCACATAATTCACAATAAAATATTAAAAAACAAACAAAAAGTGAGGCAGGATAAAAGTCTTTAGTAAGTTTCTGGGTCCCAACGCTAGTGTTAAATTGCTCTGTGGCAACCCCCTTCTCACAACAGAGGTGAAAACCTTCCAATTACAAACTCTTGAGTCATTTTGAAGGTACCATATTTGATAGGATTGATTGTGTGTTAGTTTAGGATGGAATATGCCTGTTTTACACTGTATAGTTCTAAGAACTAGAAACCCCTTCACCTGGAGAGGATCAGCCAATAAAAACAACTAAACCATTTGCAGCCTTCTTCCTTCCTAAACCCTGTTCCAGGGTAGAAACCAAACTCTAACATATTATCTTATATCCACAGGTGCGGTGTGAAACCCTTAAGAGACGAGATACTGACTTAAATTCCAATGGTGAAATGGGCTCTTTGCACATTTAGCTTAAGAATGAGCAGCTTGGTGTTTCTCGTCAATGGAGCAACTGCCCTATGCAGTCGGCTGTTCTGCACGGAGCAAGAGCTCACCCTTTCTAGGTTGTGACAGGGCAAACTGGCTCAGCCCAGTTTCTGGGATGAGGCTGACACAACATCTACTCAGCACTCACGGACACCCTTCTCAGGAGTTCTGGTGTCTCGCCACTGGGTTAAGAGGAAGACGGCACTGCAGAGAGAAGTAATGAAAAGGCTCTACACACTCACTTCGGTCTCTCAGGACCAGGGCTCTCTTCTCCCGTTTCCCAGGCTCTTGCAAGTTCACCTTCGGAGCAGACGCAGCACACTCAGGAGGCTGAGGACTGTGGAAGCCTAGTGAGGGTACAGCGGGGGGCAGGGCGCCCACAACCCCACCCGCGGCAGCAGAGGGCCTCGTGTGATCATATCTAAACAAAGCACACGCAGATGAGTCAGTGGATACATACCTCCCTCCACTCCCAGACACACAACATTGCTGCTCCTGCTCTATTTGCTGAGGGGATGATGAGGCACAAAGGGCCAGCAGAGTGAGGGGTCCACAAGGAACTGAACGTTCCAAACACATGATCAACGGACATTTCCTGATCCCAATTCAGTATTCTCTTGGCCCCAGACAGTAAGTACTGGGCTGAGAACTGTAAGGTCGGTGGTCGAGCCCGCCACCCACTTCTTAAGACAAAGGTGAGGTTTTTGGCTCCTGCTAAGCCTCAGAAACCCCACACAAGGTTGCTATGAGTCGGAACTGACTTCATGACAGTAACAAAAACAATTCTCTAGGGCAGGAGTCACTAAACGTTGATGGCAGCCAATGAAAGAGCTGGGAAACAGGCCTCCCTTTGAGGAAGACTGAGCCAGTATCGTCGTCATCCTCAATACAGTGAGGGTGTGAAGGAAGTCTGCAGCCTAACAGGGCACCTGTCTTCTCATATCAGAGGTGACCAGGGCCCCTGAGCCTTTCTAGAGGTGCCACCTTTGATGGGACTGATAATGTGTTGTGTAGGATGAACTCACAGGAATAGGTTTTTGGAACTTGTTTCCTGTCTAGAAGTTACAGAACAGTCCTGGTGTGGCACTGTATGATCAGCACTGGACTGCAAACCACAAGGCTGGCAGTTCAAACCCACCAGTCACTCCTTGGAAACAGGGTCGCTATGACTGTGCCTACTGGTTATATGCATATGTACTGTAGGGGCATTTGTAGCAAAAAAGAATCTGGAAGGCGTTTAAGTAACTAGCAGCGAAATAGTAACAAAATGATAAACCACAGTAAGCAGAAGCAGAAGCAAGCAGCAGCAGTATATTGTTTTTGTTGTTGTATAGTGCCATAGAATCGGTTCTGACCCACAGTGACCCTTCTAGGTTTCCGAGGAGCAGCAGGTGAACATGAACCACCGACCTTGTGGTTCAAACCAACTTTGCAGTCCAGCGCATTAGCCCATACTTTAGTAATACTATAATGGTACCTTAAAATGGAAAAAAAAAATCATTTTTCAAACAAAGCTTTTGAATCCCTAATAGTACTGAACTCAGAGCGACAGTAGACAGCGACAGTTAGGAGGGTCTTGCCTGCAACGAGTTCCGTAGGCACAGTAGCCCTTCTGATAGTATTTGCAGATGGTGGACGGCTTGCTGTTTGCCAAATCGTGTGAGAACAGGCACTGATTTCCTTCCCGGCACACACCATGCATAAAATACCTACAGAGACAGACAGATGCATAAAACTTTCAGAAGCACACTTTGTTTTATAAAATCACTAGAGTCCTAAAGCCACCTAGTATAAACACTATTAAGTGCACATATGAGTCAACAAGGCTCTGCTCCTGCTGGGCACTGGAGACATGTGCTGCCTCAATTCTAAGACACAGTGAGTTTAGATTCACCACAACTAGTAACAGCTTTTCTAAATGATCCCATTCATTTCTAAGAGAGTCGACTCTTGCAATTTGTGGTAGCATGTTCTATAAAAGTGCCACAAACAACTAGTGAATATGTTTCTCCTGGGAAAAATACAGGGTTAGGTTCCAGTGAGTCTCTCTGGTCACATTTTTACCAATCAAACATAATCCTGTTTTATGTGTTTTTTTAAGTAACTTTATTCAATATAGACTGCTGATTTGTTCACAAGAACTCACAGCCAACAGCACTGCAACTCATGTTTGTCTGAAACACACTATTGTCTCCATAAGGCACAGCGCACCTTTCTCACAGTTTAGCACTATGCTAGGGACCATTTTAAGCAGTGACACCACCCACAAAGAAAGCACAAAGATGCAAAACACATGGCACTCGTTTGTTTTTGTTTTTTAATGCTTTATTGTGGGTTATGTGATAGTTCACATGGAAGAACATTAGCTTCACATTGATCCCATCGTTTATCGTTTCCTTGCCATGGTTACAGTCCCCTCCATGCATCATCCAACAACCCCGCAAGCCTGCCCAGCGGTCATCAGCAGGCAGCCCCTGTCCCTCTCTGGGTCCAAAGTCCCCAGCCGCTCCATCTCTCCACGTCATCATCTCTGCCTCCATCTCTGGCGTCACTGCTTCTCTGGGTAGGGTCCCACTCTGCTATTCTCCCGTGATGGTCTGGACCTCCGCTCCTAGACTGCAAAGTTAATCACTCCCCTCCCTTTGCCACGAAACATCTACCTTTACATTTCCAGCCCTTACCATCAGTCCTGATAACAATTATTCACCATTGTATCACAAGAGACCTATCCGCATCTCCTTTCATCAGTCCCACCTAGACAGATTGAATACTACTCAGTAGAGATTCTACCTTCCTCCACACCCTCTGGATCTAGATTCCCTCTTGAAAGCTTGTAAGCCAGTCACATCTTGCCTCTGTAGCTCCCCCATTTGGGGTAGCCAATGTCCAAGTTGCCCATTTCTGTCCTCTCCGTGTGTGGAGGGGGTGGGAATGATCTTCCCTGTGAAGATGTGTTCCCTCTTTTGAGCTACTGCATCCATAGGTGCAGGTCAAGTTCATCAAATTGTATCAGATTACTCTTTTTTCCTCTTCTTTCTTCTTCTAGTTGAGCTCTGATCAT